TTAGCAAACATGGATAAAAGTCTCACTTTTGAGGCAGTGATGGGGAGGAGGGGGGTTACACTAGAGCTGCAACCCCTCTCCAACAATGTTTATCTGAAATGTATTGTGCTTTTGATTATCTGCTCCATCAGTGCATCGCTATATGTGTCAAAAGCGGCACGGTGGATAGCACTCTCGCTTCACAGCAAGAAGGTCCTGAGTTTGAATCCCTTTCTGAACAGAGTTTGCATGTTCTCCCCATGTCCGGTTTCCTACGGGTACTCCGGTTTCCCCTACCACTAAAAACATGTACAATAGGACTGGCATGCACCTCCTGTACTGGCGACCCCGCTCCCATCTCTGTGTGGAGTGAGAGATAAGTGCCCAAAAACAACAATTGTAAACCGCTTTGAGACTCTGGTCTGTGAAAGCCAAAGGCGGTATATAAATAAAGATTACTTTCTTACTTACTTACTTACAAGGTTCACGGACACATTTCACACTCAGAATAGGTTCACACTTTGAATAGACATGTTTAGTTTACTTCCTTGCAACAGATGGTCTCCAGCAATATTAAAACATATGTTTGCTGTGTCACAAGAAAATATTGAAAATTTTGACTTTGAGTTTCAGTTAGAGGAGAGTAACAGTCTCATGCATTTGTATATAATCCCTTTATCATCACAAATGCACAATGACTTTTGTTTCAGACCAAGTTCATTATAAAACTAGTAATGACTAGTAATTAACAGTATTGAAATGACTAGTAATTGTACTCAATTTCTGTCATTTTTTTACAGTGTTGACCTGCATTTACAAAGCCTTTTGTGCCCAGTGGAGGTTACAGGCCAAGGACTTCTATTCTCTTCTTTGTGCAACACAGGTGTAGATCAGCTTCAGAATGTAACCCATCATTTTGGACAGGCAGATAACTGCACTCCTCTGAAAATAGTCAATAACTGTATTTAGGGCACCTTGAGGCATGCAAGGACTTATTTGTTCAATAACAGACTAAAAAAACCATCAACTATATATTCCACATCTGATTTTATTTAAATACAAACATCCACAAGAATAATCTTTACCTCCATCATTTGTTAGAATTTAGACTTTTCTCTTGCTTCTGGAAACAAAGCATAGTTATCTCAAATGCAGTTTTCCACAGCGTGCACTGACTTCACAACGACACGGAAAATCATTATTGTTCGCTTCATCCATGTGTTTGGGCGTTTGATGTCTGTTTTGTTGATTATGGTGTTTTGAAATAGATATATTATCTTTGTGGTCCATGTCTTTAAATTCTTTACAATATTACATACAATAGAAAAGGTGACATGTGTAATTGGTTCATTTTTTGGAATACATTATAATTTTCATAACATGAAAGAGAGAAATATTAAGTATTTTCGGTGCTAATTTAGAAAGTAAACCAACAAAATGCTACTAAATAATGATAGTGATGCATGTTTAGAGGCGGCAGCTCTTTTCATGACACCCACAGCTCTTTAACTTGTATTATTCATGTATTTCATCCGCACACAGTGGGGGTAAACTATACCACCACTGCTCTGACCTGCTCCAATCATCACACACCAGACTCAAACAAGCAATCTACAGCCATTTGTTCTCACCGTACTACAAATACAACACAACAGATACTATACAACAAATACTGCACATCAAATACTGCATAACAGATACTATACAACAAATACTGCACAACAGATACTGCATAACAGATACTATACAACAAATACTGCACATCAAATACTGAATAACAGATACTATACAACAAATACTGCACAACAGATACTGCATAACAGATACTATACAACAAATACTGCACATCAAATACTGCATAACAGATACTATACAACAAATACTACACAACAGATACTGCACATCAAATACTGCATAACAGATACTATACAACAAATACTGCACAACAGATACTGCATAACAGATACTATACAACAAATACTGCACATCAAATACTGCTAACAGATACTATACAGCAAATACTGCACGCATGTAAACATTGATACTGCTGTTATTAATAATGGCAGGATGAGAGGAAGTATTGTGTGACTTTATAACTGAGAGCAGAGAACAGGTACAGTGTATGATGCTGTAATGTCAGTGTGAGTGTATTTTTCTGACTGTTCATAATTTCATTACATGTGATCGTACATTTCCATAGTTATTTCATTGCATGTTATTGTTTATTGTATTCATGTAACCAGGAACTGCAAGCAGAAATTATAGCTATTTTGCTAAAATCCAGTAAGGACATATCTGACTGTGATCTCAATGTCTTTGTGCATTGCTCCTTCAAATAAAGACTAAACTAAACAAATGGACCAGCTGATGGGTCTGTAATCGCTGTTGTAAAATCTAAAAATAATAATAATAATAGTAATAATTGAATCACTTATAACTGCATAGATGCTTAATATTGGATGATCGAATAATGTAGACTGAATGATAATGAGATGACAGGACACGTTCCCCTCTCTATATTGTACTTCTCTCTTCCTCACCCTCTCTGTTCTGTCAGTTCTGTCATGTCCCAGAGCACATACACGGACGGACACCCTTTGGGAAATCCCTCACCCACACAAATGAAGCTGAGGAGACGAAGACGTTGACATTTTGAAACTGAAAAGGCCCCTGTCATCTTTCAAAGTACATAACCTACACATTAAAGATTCAAAAGGGAATATCGCACTGACCTCTGCAGAGAAGGAGATGTCAAGAGCCGATTATGTTATGGCAGCAGTTTACCCATGTGACTCTGACTACAGCACAGAGTTCACTCACCATTATCAATCCTACTGATTCTCCAGAACTAAAAACAGTGGTGGATGTGGGCAAGATTTATAGCAACACCTGTAAGTTAAGATAGGAACATAAAAAGATTAGTTTTGTTTATGAATCAAGCATATGAATGATCTGATACATTACTGATGGTATTGGAGCTCTCTTTACTGTTGCTGCTGCTCTATTCCTGATGGAGGTTCCAGTTTTTCTTGGGTTAATTTAAAAATGTTCTAGTTTGAAATGTTAGATAGTGGCAACACCATTTTCCATCTATCCTGCAAAGCGCTCACTAGTCTAGGGCTGAGCAATATGGGAAAAACCTTATTTTTCTATCATATTAATGGATGGTTTTTAATTTAGATGTTTTCCTTTTTTTTTCAAAGCTAGTTCCTCGCTCTCAAAACAGTCTGCTTTTTTCATGCATACATTTTTGCCCACTGTCCGTAAAGCTTCCATACATATATGTATGTGGCGATAGCTGCATGTGAAAGCCTGGTTAGTAATGTGATGGGAGACCTCTGGGAACACCAGGTGCCACAGTGAAGCGGCTGCGGCTGTAAAGTGCTGTGTCCTTAGGCGAAACACATAACCCACAATGATTGGTGGTGGTCACAGGGGTCAATGGCACATAGGGACGCATAGGGCAGCTGTGGCTACAGTAGTAGTTGATCGCCACTGTGTATGGAGTGAAATAATAATGACAGGTGAAGCGTCTTTGTGTGTCCAAAAAGCGCTGTATAAAACGGATGCATTATCTTTATCATATTTCCTTTGTTTTAATACATTGATGATTCTGATTCTGATTTGTAATATCTCATAATTGTCTTCTAAAAACTCTGGCGAAAAGCTCTAAAGCTCTAAAGTCCCAGTTATTGCATGTCAGCTGTGTTGGCGTGTTAATGAAAAGTCAGTGCACAGTGCCGTTGACAGAGTGTGTCACATTCTGTATGCAGTCTTCAGGCCCTATAGTGTCAGGAGGAGAGGTCCTGTCATGCCTCTCCATTGGCAGATGCAGCGCATGTTCTGACTGTAATGGTCTTTTGAAAATACAGAAATATAGAGTTATTTATAGTAACAAAAAATCACACTGAGGGGGGTCGCTGAATGGTTATTGCATTTGTACTGGTTTGCTTTCATTGGTATTGACCATGAAGAGGGGAATATGCATGTGTGATTAGCCTGAATAAGCTAATGGGAAACCCTTAAGGTATAGGAGCACTGGTTTAGGCTGATGGTTGAAAATGCATTGGAAATTTCACTCAATACTTCATCAAACAGCATTACTTGGAATATGTTACTTTCCGCAGAGTTCACCTCTTGGTTATTTGGCCTTGAATGTCCCTCCATACAGCGTTACTGATCTATTCCTTTGTTCTTATTATTTTATGTATTGGTATTCTTGATCAAAACCACCTTCATAAAATCAATCTTTTTGTGTGAATATTACCATTGCAATTGGCACCCACTGAACCAGATGAGATGACAATGTTAATGCTCCTACATGAGATTATCCAACCTTTTGTATCATACTAGAATTGTATTTATGTTTTTGTATACCCTCATCACATTACAAAGGAGACCACTAAAGGCTGTACTTGTCTCTGGTGATGAGAGGAATGCTGTACAGTAGGCAATCTCACTAGACAGCACTTCACCCCAGAAGTTTCATCAGTTAGAATAGCTAAACAAAATAAAATAAAATAAAACATGAGCCATAAGAAAGACCCTGATCCAGTTGTTGATGAAGAGAGACAGAGCTAGACCAAGAGACATTTTGGCTTTGGTAAATGTTCAGGTAAGTCAATTCTGGAGCCCAAATGGTTGACCTCAATTCAGACACTGACTCACTCAATGAAAAAAAAGTTTGATTTGTAGTACTTCAAAGAGAGAGAAAGCAAATATACATCTTAGACAGCTGATGACAGTATTATATATGTTAATTATCCGCTTTTCACAACCTGTGATCATTGAACAAAATATGATGAGGTCCTCGCAGTAACATTGTAGTTTAAGTAATTCATTACGTATAATTAAATCATAATACAAAACTTCTATAGATCCTTCCTCACGTTTGTTCCTTCACGTCTCACCAGATTACACACATTTTCCCGCTTTAAAAAATATGTCAGATGAAGTTTATTCCATCAATGATACCGTGTGCATGTGTTTGTTATAGATGCGTCCCTGTTTTCTCCACTCACCTTGGTTCGTGGTTCCTGGTTCCGACAGCACACTTCTGAGCAGGAACAAAAACACACAGTAGTTCCCTTTGGGGCACATCGTGACTGCTTCACCTCAAGAGTCCCGCTCACATCCCCGGAAAGAAAAGCAGCTTCATGGAACACGCATCATACAGTCAGGACAGTCCCCACCGTTCATGCGTCAAGAAGTTCAAAATCTGTCCGTTGATTCCAAGACGCGCAGAAAATTGTCAACCCACAAAAACAAGTCTTGAGCAAGTTCACTTCAAGTTGATTGCAAAGACAGGTGCATGAATGTCATTGTGCGGCTTGATAGAAATAAATCCTGGTGAATGAACTTGTTTTAGGTGGTAAATCCAGAAAAAAAAAACGGTAATGGGAGAAATGCGAAGGAGAAACGAACATGCCGCCGCTACTTGAGCGCTTTGAGCCCAGTGCATCCCTCCCGGAGCGCCTCGCTGTTTCTGAGTGCGCGCTCTCTCTCCTCTCTCTCTCCTCTCTCTCTCTCTCTCTCTCTCTCTCTCTCTCTCTCTCTCTCTCTCTCTCTCTCTCTCTCTCTCTCTCTCTCTCTCTCTCTCTCTCTCTCTCTCTCTCTCTCTCTCTCTCTCTCTCTCTCTCTCTCTCTCTCTCTCCTCTCTCTCTCTCTCTCTCTCTCTCTCTCTCTCTCTCTCTCTCTCTCTCTCTCTCTCTCTCTCTCTCTCTCTCTCTCTCTCTCTCTCTCTCTCTCTCTCTCTCTCTCTCTCTCTCTCTCCTCCGCACCGCTCGCAACTGAAGTCTGGCGCAGCAAGCGAGGGGTTTCTTATACAACTGCGCTGAAACTAAAGTGAGCGCTAAATGTTCAACTTTGTTTGGTTTTAATGGGTTTTAATCCAACTCGGATCAATGCACGGTATTTGCAGCATACGCCGAAGCCCGTGTGTGTGTGAGTGACAGAGAGTGCGGGTAAGTGTGTGTGTGCGTGTGTGTGTGCGTATTGATCGTGCCAGAGGTGGAGAAGATGGAAAAGAAATATGAAACCATAACGAGATTATAGTATCTACGCTGTGCCACTACGGTTTACACTGCATTGGATTATCGTGGGGGAATAGTAATGTGTCTGTCTGGGTCTGATGCTATTTATGACAAGTTGGGGAGGAAGCCAACCAGACAGACGTGGAGAGCGTAACAAGACTGGAATTCACCGTGTGGGATTTTTTTGTTTTTTTGTATTGTATTAAGTTCTGGACTCCTGATTTAACGTTAGGACTCCCAGAGATATCATTTTGACTGTTCCCATTGAAAATTCAGAAAATCTAAAAACAAGTTCCATTAGTCCCAAGGTTGTATTAGAAACTGGTGTTAAAGGTATAACTACTATACTACTAAATAAAAATATAATTAAATGCAAGTAATGACATTGAAATGAACTGCATTGAGATACAGAATACATCTGAAAGTTATAAAGAAATGAACATGAGCAGAGTAATGACACTTCTAAAACTATAATCCATCAAGGTGCGCTGCTTTGGGAGTTAGTGTTAAAATGATAGATAATGATTTTAAGTTTTCATCAAAAAAGTTGGACTAGAATCATTTTTTTCCTCTCACTTTTCTCTGGCTGCCCCTATCTCCCCGTAGTACTTGGATCTACAGTTTTGTACTATTTCTTTAATTAGGGATCCTTTTTAGCTGAGAGATTAAACATTTTATCACTGTGGGAGTCATACTTCTTCATCTTTTTTACCATGAATATGTGTGTGTTTTTTTTTTTTTTTTTAAACAGGATTAATATATTAAATTTCTCAGAATGTATCCTTTTGTTCAAGAAATTGTTTATAATGAAAACATTCACCACGGGAAACAATCTTACTATTATACTCAACTAAGATTTCTAAAAACCTCTGCTTTAACTCATCTGAGCTCTCTTTGATACTGTTCAATCTAATGTTCTTTAAACTTTAGTTATTGTTGATTCCTTAATGATCAGGATTAGCACAATATGGTATTTAAACAAAAAACTAATATTCCCTACATACATACTTTGATACCATTGACAAGTTTGAGGTGTTTAGGAAGGTTTTTCTGGTTTTTTTAGTAATGTAATCTGGTTCTTCTTTGTTTGTTAGTTAGTTAGTTAGACTTGTTAGTTAGCAAGAATGTTCATAATTGATTTACTTGTGTTTGTATGGATGTGATCTATCTCTCTATCTATCGATCTATTCCAAGCAATTGTAAGGGAAAGTTACATTCTCAAAGGAACAGACCGAAGTAACGTCAAAACAGTCACTATCTAACGAGAAACTATCTTACAATTGTCTGGTTTATAAGAACAGCTTTGAGTTTGAAGCGTCTGGTGAAGTGGCATTCTCTGTATACTGCTTCTTTCTCCCTAATGACTCAGTTCCTTTCTACTCTGGGTCCTAATGTCACAACCACATTAGTCTGCAGCTTACGATGTAAAGTGAAAGATGGCACAATCGTTTTTGCGACGTAAACATTGAAATTCTTACAAGACGAGACGTTCTGCTGTGCCATGTCCCGCTCATTACTAAGCTGCCTCTTGCCTGCTCATTAAAATGCATTCACTTTAAGGCATCAACTTGCACGGTTACATAAACATAATGTCGAGCACACAAATATATATCGTTGTCAGTGTGCCATTCTGTCCCAAAACATCCCCAAAATAAGGATTACAATGTTAATCCTTTAATGTGTTTATGTGACTTCAAGCATTTTAAGATGTTTACGTCAGATTGCTTTATGCAGCGAGGGGAAAGTAAACAGTGTGCAATAAAACAGACTGCCCGAGATAATCAGATTGAGGTTTGATCAGGCAATATTCAGATCCAGTCACTCAGAGCTGACTTTAATAACGTGGGCACCTCAGGGGGGGAGGTGTTGAACCGACATGTACTTTTAATACGTGGAGGAGACGCTTTTGTTTACAACAGCTTCAAGACACTTCTAGATCCACGACACTAATCTCTTTCAGCACTCTGTAGAGTATTGGTCCATCGTTCTGAACAAACTGAATTAAAACTGATTTCACTCTTTTCTTACGCTTGCCCCAGTGTCCAGCAGTGGATTGCAACCGTGTCTTCTAGAGATATATGAAACACATATCCATCCATCCATTTTCTTCCCCTTAATCCATTTCTGGGTCGGGGTCGTGTCAGTCAGAGCTGCATACAGAACACATAGCACCAGGCCCTCCTGCAGGTGGTGAGTCCACAGGAGCCTTGACCAAATAGTGAGGGCTTCAGGCAAAGTGGGGTTAGGTGTCTTGCCCAAGGACACAACGACAGTAGTCATCATTGGGAGTCGTGAAGTAGGTCTTGTGGTGGGCTCAAACCCACGACCTTCAGGCTCAAAGGCCAATACTCTAACAACTAAGCTACTGTCGCCCCAGAAACACATATATGAATCAATATTTAGTATAATGAGATTTTTCAACTCCCACTCATGACTGCTGTCGTTGTGTCCTTGGGCAAGACACCTAACCCCACTTTGCCTGAAGCCCCCGCTGAAAGATCAAGGCCCCTGTGGACTCACCACCTGCAGGAGGATCAGTGAGGGGCTGGTGCTCTGTGTACTGGGTGCAGCTCTGACTGCCACCCCCCAAACCAGAAATGGAAGGGAAGAAAATGGATGGATGGACGAGATTTTTCATGTTTCAGAATATTAAGTGATTTTTAAGTAGACAATATGTGGTGAAACAAGTATCGAGGGTAAAAAAGGCGTTCCGCTTGTAAGCCCCTGTGCTACCACCAGGGGCAGAAGTTGAAGTTGTCTTTCTTCTTGAAAACGAAGACTGCAAACAGCCATGTGACTGTAAAGAGCAAAAAGAGAAAAAGGGGAGAGTAGAATAGAATGTAACTTTTTTGGTCTGTTCCACAAAATATATAATATACATGTCTATATTACAAACTGTAATGAACAAATATGTTTAAAGAATGCTGATCCAAAAAGAAGCAAAGTGCAGTTATGTAGGTTGATCGTTGCTCACACATTACTTTTATACATAAGTTGAGCTGACTCAAGGTTACACTGAGTTTTTACATTTAGAATTTGGATTCAGTTAAGGATCAGCACCATGGACAGCGACAGTGTCTGATGCTCCTCATGTTAGTGACCTGTATTGATTTATGGATGCTGGGCGTCAATCACAAAGTCACAAAAGCAGAAGGATTCTTGGTTTTGTTTTGATCGATGCACGTTTGCTTCAGATAGCATCATGTCCAACATCGCTGTTGATATATTACCTTTAGGACAAGTGCATCTGTTCTATGTGTTTTAATATTCCATCTACAGCTACACAGCATAATTGTGTTGAGTTGTTCACACTATGACTTGAATTTAATCAGGTTTAAAACATTGAGGATTTATAAAGCAAATTATTCTTATGGTGGAATTGTAAATGAATACACTGGCAAAAACAACAACATATTGAACTTGAAAGCTTGAAATACTGATATTAATTGTATCCCCATGACATTTATATTTCTCACAAAGAGAATGTCTAAAGACTTTCATTTTTTAAAACCTTTGTCAGCATTACTTCTCAAGTTCTGAATGCACAAAGAGTCTCTGTGGCATTGGTGAGAGCCCTTTGAGACTAACAGGACGTCCTGACCGGCTCATTACCGGACCTGGTTTGGGATTTTCATAGACAAATGAACCAGGTCCAGTGCTCCGAGGCTTCTGACTGATCTTTTTTTAGTTTACACATCTTGCCTTATACGCTGAGCAAATGAACTAAAGTTAGAAAAGCTGAGAATTAAACCCAACCCAAAGACAAAATTGTTGTAATTTAAAGACTATATCAAAATATGACCACAAAAATATAGCTAGCAATCACAGATGTCTAATACAGTTCTTCAAATTGGATATCAGTATACAGAGACCTTATGCAGAGAGGCTTCTGAATTTTTTTAATGAATGAATTAATGTATACTAAATGAATTCAAACATTCTAAAAACAGCTAACAATAGTATTAAAATACAACAGCACTTTAGGTCACAGCAGCAGAGGTGGAGTCGCCGATTGGTGCGGACCATTTTCTTAATCATTTTCTTTAAAACCATGAATATCTTACTGCA